AGCAATACATCGCTGACGTAGGTCTGCAAAAGTGAAGATTTAACAAAAGTTTTCCCATAAGCAGAACAGAACCTGTTACTACGCGCAAACTTGCAAAATGGCAATGAAAGCGGCACAAAAGCAGGCTGGCCAAAAAGACTCAGTAAGCTTGAAATTCAGCTCACATAAATCTTGTGGTGATTGTATCTTCTCCTTAACAATTCCACGATCGCTCCATCGTTGACTGTCTTGGCTTCTAGGGATGCTAGATCGTCACCTTCGTTGACCGCCATCTTGTCGTGGAGCCACAGCGCTCACACTTCCTTGTTCGCGCGTGTCTGCACGCAAACACGCGCCCATGTAGCGTAACCTCATCCGGCCTTTTGTTTTCTTCCTCTTGAACCTTGCATAAAGGAGGAGTACGCTTGAACATCCACCTAATCTCATAATCCTGTCATTTCAAAGGATCTATGAAATTTGACATAAGTTGCGTCCTAAGATTACCAAAAGCAATTGAGCTGTTCTAAAATTTTCCTTCCGCCATTCATTATTTACGCTTGCCGCCATTAATTTGGAAACACCCCAGTGAACCCACCCCTTATTGCTTCTATGAAGCTGCAACGTTTGGACAACCGGGGACCCATTACTTGGGACAACTTATTTTTCAAACGAATATTTATCGAAAATAAAAGTGATAGTTCGGTGAAAGTATGGCTTAATAAGCACACCCTTCTCTCCAGATATGCCCTTGGGTTAAAACTGTCGGCGAGGTTTGCAAGGATCATGCAGGAGGTCAGGAAAAAAAATCTTGATTTAAAGTCTGATTAGTCCAAAATTTTCATTTTCTTCTGTGATTGGTGTAAGATATCCAAATGTTGCGATATAACTGATGCGAGATACATACCCAGATGCGTCGATCTGATTGGTGCGCGCAACATACCACTCTACACGCTAACATAGAACTTTTTCTTTTTTACCGAAAAGAAAACAACCTCAACAAAACTAGAGGAGTAATTTTTGTATGCTATCATAGAAATTTCGGCCATCATATGCTTTAATATTTTCACAGCATCCTTCTTTATTTCAAAGATTTGACCCGTTTTGAGGTTGCGTTTATTCCAGCCTCGTTTCCATGTAAACAGTGATGGAAGAGACACCAGCACTCATATTGTCTATTTTCTGGAGTTCTACGCATCCAAATGCTTTTTTTTTAGCGTAATTCGAAAGTACATGATTTCTCTGTTGGCACATAAGATGAAAAGCCTGAATAAGACCTCCAACTTAGTCTCAGCAGGATTTGAAACATGTTAAGATCGACAAAGGAGACTGCTTTTTGACGGAAAAAATGGCCATGTGACAATCACGTGACAAGCTGTCGTACCATGTGAACAATCAAATTGTAGGCAGGTACATGATCATCATTTTTCCAGAAGGGTTGGGGGCACTTCAGTGAAAGAAGATGAAATTTGAGATCAATTTCCGTTTGAGCCTCGTTTCCATGCTGAGTGCCACATCATGGTATAAAGCCCCATTTATCTCGTTAGCGGTACTACAATTCGGGACTACATAGTATCTTATCTTAAAGAGCAGGTATTTGTCTATCAGAATCAGCTCTTGAACCTTTTCTGTCGGGTGGGTTGAACCAACTCGTTAAAGAAGGCCTTTTTTCAGAAAATAGCTCCTTGACTATGGTGGCTCGAAGGTGGGTTAGAAACGGTTTTTTTACAGTTTTTATGTGTTGGAATCTAGGGTTTCCAGCAACTGCACCTGTAATATTCATAGGCCCAAAAAGAAAACACCGTGGGAAAGATTACCAAAAGGCGATAGATTCGAAAGTTTACCCATGCTCAGATATAGATCTTGGCCAAGTTCTATTCCGTATAGATATCTTTGGTTAAGGTTTATTGCAGACACAGCAGAGTTTCAGCTTGCTTTTCATAGTAAAATCACGTAGGACTATATTTTTGAGGTAATTAACTTTAGACGAATAATTTTGATTTTCTCTCTGTTAGAGGAACGGAAGTAAACGCAGTCTCTTCCGCAATCGTTATTCAGTCTCATCACGCTGCACGCTCTCTCTTTAACGGGGAATAGATGGCGTTGTGTGACGAGACGAAACAACTGCTGCAAGGGGAGAAAATAGCAGGAGGGGCACCGATGACAATAGACCACAAAATACCTGTGTGAGCTCAGACAGGTTTTTTCTTTCTCTTAAGGTGAAGCAATGCGATGTTTTCGTCCGTTTGAAAGTTATGCTCTTTTTCTGTTGCAAAAATAAAAACATAATCATTAGGTACACGAAGTGTCTCATCTAAACCCCCCTCCCTCCCCCTCCACTGCCAAGAGAATAATTCTTGTTGCTTGTTGCTACGCATGCCTCAGTTTATGCAAATATCTGCGTATCACCTTCTAGTTGGAAACCCATGATGTGTTATTCCGCTTTCTTCACAATACGAGGTCGCCGACACCTTCTTAAAACGACACTCAAAATTGTTTGCCTACTTGCAGTAGGGTTTGTGTTGAACCGACTTAGGCAAAGTAAGTAGCAGCATTTATCTAGAGTTTAACAGTAGCGATATGAAGAAAGATTCTCGTATAATTCCATACTGTTCTTAAACAAAGCCCACGTCCCTCACTCTACTCTCTTATTCAAGTTTTAAATATTCAAAAATTGTAGCTCGTTTTGTGAATATGAAGAAAGATTATCGTATAATTCCATACTGTTCTTAAACAAAGCCCGAAAAAAAGTCATTATTATCAATAAACAAGGCCAAATGTTATCAAGAATGCGAGTTATAATAATACAAGCTAAGTGAATGACGAATTCAAAGTCACTTCAAATCATCATGTAAGTGTTGATTGAACAAGCTATTAAAGAATCAACTCAGTCCAGTGAACTTATTGAAAATTCGAAAAAATGCTTATAATCGTTATAAATAATTCACAAAGTTAACCTTAAAATGATCCATCGGATGATGAAGCAAGAACCAATCAGCGATAATTTGTGAGTCATTTAGTCTTTTGCGGCCTGCCGAGCGTGTGTTTTGAAGAGGCCGATTTTCTATTTGGCCGCGTATATTGATAATAATTAAAAATAACTTCATTCAAAATGTTGTTGTTGTTATTTTATCTAAGAATTGTATGCACAATGAATAATAGGGTTACACGAAGATCTTTCCTTACATTATCAGGCACGCCAAAGTATGTGCTTTGCAAAAATCATTCATAGAAATTGAGCTCGGAAAATAAATTTGCATCATGTTGTATAATTTGTTTTGAACGAGATAGATTTTAAAACAGCAAAGAAAGACGAGGTCGAATTTGGAGAAATACAGCGATTGAATGTTGGAATAAGATCTTTCTTCATATGAAATATTTTAAGATAGTGTTGTTACACATTGAGCACTACAAGAAACATCGTTTTAATGAATACAGGTGCTTCAAATAATCTTCTCTTGTTTACGTTACGCAACACTCTCAAATTAAAGCAAGCGTATAGGATAGACATCCAATCAAACATAAACATGTGTAGCTGCCATGCAAGGGTATTTCTTTTTAGCTGGGTAGGTCGAAATTGGACTTTGTATTCTGGGCCCACTTGTTCAACCACTGATTAGCGCTAACCAAAGGTTAAATTTTATTCCGGGTTTCTTTATTTCCTTTGTGCAAAAGCCTGTTTGGGATAATTGTCTCCATTCTCTTTTGAGCTTGCAGTCACAAGATTGTAGACAAAAAAATTACACTGGATCTTTTTTTAAAACTTTCAGAACTGAAATAAAATTTCACACTAATCCTGGGTTATCTTAACCCAGCTTTGAACAACCCGGCCCTGATGTTTTCAAAACTTTAACTAGAACAAAAATATTGCATTACTTCACTTTGAGAGAAAGAGAAAAATCATAATTTATCTAAACTCATGCAGGTATTTTATGGTCTGTTGTCTTTATTGTCTAAAGACTTCTAAGCAAAAATAAAATGCATTGGTGCCACACTCACTGTAACCTCATTTGAAGCTGTTGTTTGGTCTCAATCAACACCCCCATTCCCTGTTGGAGAGAGAGCGCATATGAGACCAAATCATGGTAGTGAAAGAGAGTATGCTTACTGCCATTCCTCTAACAGAGAGAAAATAAAAAATTCTACATAACTTTGTTAAGAAAAGCAAACTGAAACTGTTGTATCTCCAATAGACTCTTAAACAAAAATATATTGCAATCTCGTATAAGGGAAGATACACTGAGCAAAAGGAAAGGATAATATTTCAAAGAGGGCTCCTTGATTGGTTGTTGCCCATCTGGACTTTGCCCTCTGTGTCTGAAATAGGTGACAAAATGTAGGTTGTTTGTGAGAAACACATCACTCTACACACTAACATAATGTTATTAATTTTTTTTTAAATAACTCAAAATGATAATAACAGTCCTGATTATGAAATTAATGATAATATAGCTATGTATTAATGTAATGATAATTATAAATTATTAGATATTGATAAAAATAAATAACATCAATTTGATAATGATGATAATATTAATAGTGAACAATGTGGAGACATTGGGAGTCTGATCTCTTATTTGTCAATAAGTGATCATTTTACAGCCTTTTATCTTTTCCCTTTTGGTAAATTCAAGATTTATGAAGAAAAACAGCGATGAAAATTTTTTACATAAAATGTCAAAAATTATTCATCCTATATACATATTCTCACTCAAAAAGGTCTTTTTAATAGCAAGAATATGTATGTAGAATAAATAATGATAGAACAATAATAATGGTAAAAATAATAGTTTATATTATTAGCTGGGAAAAAGTTTCCTTACTAGGAATAAACTGACGCTTAATAATCTGTTCCACCTCACCTTCCTCCCAAGTTTGTTTGTTGTTTTTTTTTCTTATTACTTATATTGTCACTAATATTTTTTACAGATGGTCACCAGCATTATGATCAAAAACAATCTTGGAGTATGTATTTAAAAAGTGTTCACTTCTCAGTGGCCTTTGGCCCTCAGCTTCAACCTTTTCTGGACAACTCTTCAGAGACTGGAGGCAAAATAAAAGAAAAGAGAATTAGTTACTCTGCTGATACTGAGACGAAAAACTCTTCAGTGGGAATTAGCCAAGAAGAAATCAACTTCATGGCTGAATATATTCAAGTCCACTTTGAATTTCTATCAAAGACAAAAGCAGTGATTACAATTTCTAATAATGGTGCTAAAACTATCAGGAACCATGGATGGACTATATACTTTTCCTTGAATGTGTGGTTTCACCCACATTTACAACAAGTTGGTGTTCAGGAACATAACACCCTTACTTTTGGACATGTTGTGGGACATGTGTATAAGATTGAACCTGTTAATTATAGCAATTCCTTTTTACCTGGAGCTTCCCTCAAATGCTCAATTACAGCATTACCAATTTTTCTTTGGTCTCGCTATATAGTCTCACCCAATTGGTATGTTGCTTCCAATGGTCTAGAGCCAAGAACAATAATTGCTACAGCTAATGAAGACCTCTCTTTTGTTTCTACATCTGATCCATTGAGTAGCATTCGCCCTGGTGTGGATGGTTCAAAAGATTTGGGACATGCCCCTTTAGCGGTTATTCCTTCACCATCCGAAATATCAAGAAATAAGTACCCTCGGTCAGTCTCTATTAACAAGGAATGGACAGTGTCTGGAGACAAGCAGTTACAGAACGAATTGAAATTTTTGTCAGGTGGTTTTTAAGCATTAAATATCTAGTAATTAACTCTTAACTGCCAGGCAGCCAGTCAGTAAGTTGGTAAGTCAGCTAGTCAGTCATTTAGCTCGTCAGCCAGTCAGACAGTCTGTCAGTCTGTCAGTCTGCCAGTCAGCCAGTCAGCCAGTCAGCCAATCAATTAGCCAGTCACTTCAATCAGCTAGTCAGCCAGTCTGTTCAATCAATCAGTCAGTCTGTCAGTCAGACAGCCAGTCTGTTAATCAGCCAGGTAGTCAGTTAGTAGGACAGTCAGTCAGCTAGTTCTTCTGTCAGATAGTTAGCCAGTAAGTCAATCAGAAAGTCAGACAGTCAATAAACTAATCAGGCAGCTTGTCAGTCAGCTAGTCATTAAGGCAGTAAGTCAGTTTGTAAGAGAATCAATTGGTAAGTCAGCAGTCAGACACATTAACACATATACACACACAGACAAACAGTTGGTCAGTCATTTAGTTTCCTTTATCAGGAGCCCAATGGGCTCCTGCCAATATCTAATAAGCTATGAATGCAAAGTTGCTATGCTCAGTAAAACAACACTGCTTTTATAAAATGCATGTAGGAAGGTAGAAGTAAGTATTTAGGACTAGTAGAGACATTTCTTTTTGATGATAATGATGATGATGATGATAAATGAATAATTTTTTTTCGCTTTTTTTTTTCCTAGATAAACTTGCATTAAAAGTATCTCCGTCCTTCGATCCAAGTTCAAAAACCATTTTATTGACTCTGGCACCAACAGCTTTGCAATCAGACCAGGATCGGTTTTCCTCCACTGCAAACGATTCATACAGTCTTGAAATAGATGATTCCAAGGAATTGATCTCCATAACTGGCCAAGGCGCTAGTGGGGTGTTTTACGGTATTCAGACTCTGTTGGCACTCGTGAACGAAAGTGGCCAAATTACAGCGGTTTCTATCAAAGACTCTCCTCGTTTTTCGTACCGCGGGTTCATGGTGGACGTTGCTCGTAATTTTCAATCTAAGCAGGAAATAATGAAGGTGCTGGACGTCATGGCAATGTATAAGATGAACAAGTTTCATTTTCATTTGTCGGACAGCGAGGGATGGAGACTAGAAATTCCTGGACTCGAAGAGTTAACAACAGTAAGGGAAATTAATTTGGCACTTTTTTTCATTGATGTGGGAATGAAGTTATTTTGGAAGGATTCTATCCGTCTGCGTGGGTTTTTTTGTGTGTGTTCGTCCATCGGTCAGTTTTTTTTTTTGCTATCTGTCATGTTACCGTTACGTTACTCGCTCATGATTACATCACTTTCTAAAGTTCCCGTGGTGTGGATAAAATAAGTTCATCATAGCTGCCCGTGTGTTTATTCTTCATTAATCTAGACAGTATGCTGCTTAACATCTGTACTATGAGTTTTGGAATTCTTTTCCAGATTGGATCAAGGAGATGCTTCGATTTGCAAGAGAAGAAATGCATTATGACACAACTCGGCTCAGGCGTCGATACGAGCACCTCGGGCACTGGACACTACTCTACTGAAGACTATCGGGAAATACTTCGTCACGCAGCAGAACGCCACATTCAAGTAATTCCAGAGTTCGACTTACCGGGTCACAGTCACGCAGCTGTGAAAAGCATGAGAGCTCGTTTCGACCGACTTGTACAGGAAGTGGGGAAAGAAGAGGAAGCGAAGAGATTTCTTCTCAGTGATTTTAATGACAAATCTTCGTACACCACCATGCAAGGTTTTAGTGATGACGCCGTTAATCCTTGTTTAAGTTCTACTTACTCATTTCTCGATTTCATTTTATCAACTTTATCTCGTCTCCATAGTGACATACAGCCGCTGACCTTTTATCACTTTGGAGGCGACGAGGTTCCTAATGGGGCCTGGGTGGACTCCCCAGAGTGTCAGAAGACGGAACATAGGTTAACCAAACGATACTTGATGAACATTTTTGTGGAACGTCTTTCCCGTATCACACTTAAGCACGGTCTAGATATTGGAGGCTGGAGCGATTCATTTACCAACATTGCCGACGGGGACATAGGCATCGGGTTGAATAGGAATATAATTAAGAATAAAAACGCTGTGGCGTATTTTTGGGGAGCTGATTTTGAAGATGAGAGGATATCGAGACTTGTAAGAGGTGGCTACAAGGTAATAACCCTGTTTTTTTTACTCAGTTCAGGTAATATTCTCGTAATTTTGATTCTCTTGAAGACACCCGCGCAAATGTCGATCGCCCAGGGACCAGTTCAGGGGGGGGAGGGGGTGGGGGGTTTTGGGACGGAGGGAGAATCAGCCGTTGCCAATAGAGTATAAAGGGTAGAATATAGAAATTGACTGCCAATAAGGGGGGGGGGGAATGATACGAATGTTGCAGTGCCCCATGTGAGGGGGGGGGGAAGGGGGTAAACAGTTAAATTCTATCATGACATTACCAAATCAGTCTGATATGCTTTTTGCTCATCAGTCAGTTTTCCAGGATTGGACTCAATAAGCGCTTTCTGGTAATTTTTATGGTTACCTTAACATGCTTTAATCTCATCTATTTTCTCAGGTCGTGTTGACCCCCGCAAGGTTTCTCTACTTTGATCATTCACAAGAACATGACTTTAATGAACGGGGCTTAAACTGGGCAGAAAAATATACTGACATCAAAAAGACATTTGGATACTCACCGCCTGGCAATCAAAACATTCTTGGTAACGTAGTTTCTTTTCCTTCGACCCTAACATCTACGGACAACTATGGAACCACCATTTCATTGTCACGAGAGCGTATGTAGGATTTCCACCAGGAGGGGAGGAAGTCCCTTCTTTATTCTTAGTGACATTTAGGAGCATAATCAAGTTGTTAAAAATTATTCCTTACCGGTGGAATAAGGAGGGTGGGGTGGGTGACACCTGCATTCCGAGAGCCCTCTTGGCTGCGCCCTTCGGTCCGTGTACGACGAAGATAACTCGACACAAATTAGTTTCACTTTTTAAAATGCCTTTTCGGTATACATTTTCTTATTTTGTTAAAAGCGAATCGTGCTGTAATGAAGAATGGAGAGTCAAGCTGTTATTTGTGGAAACAATCGTTCTTCAAAGTGTTTCCAAGTTCGTTAGCGACAAAGTGTTGGTCTTTTGAATGCCTCACACGTGCGAGCTAGCTTTTAGCGAAGGTATGCCTGCACGAAGCATGTTTTGTTAGTGTGCCACGCATGTTTAGTCATAGGTGGGATCACATTGGCCTATAGTATTTAAAGAAATTTCAAGAAACAATTAAGCCAGCCTTTGTTTCACATGTAGGATTGGAAGGAACCATGTGGGGTGAATTGATCCGTACCGCTGACCAGATGCACAGCATGATTTTTCCTCGACTATTGGCTGCGGCTGAACGCGCGTGGCATAAAGGATCTTGGGAAGACCTAAGGGGCGAGGAAAGGCAAAAGCAATTAGAAGAAGACTGGGTCAACTTTGCCAACACGCTCGGTCACAGGGAACTGGTTCGACTTGATAAGATGGATGTACCGTACCGTGTACCACCTCCAGTGGCGAGGTTTGTATAAATAAGACTTCTCGTTAAGGTACACAGGCTTCTACCCAGTGTAGATCTGTACATAAGCTTAATGAAATTTGCGCAAAAATTCATGTGGCCCTCTTTGTTCGTTTCTAGAGTTGTCTGCAAAGCTGCTTGCAATAAGTTACACGTGACAACTGAGCTGCCTGGCCTTAAAGTTGAATACTCCAAAGATGATGGTCTAACGTGGAATGACGTCAAACCGGAAACGGAAGTGAACGAAAAGATAAAGCTCAGGACCAGGTAGAATTGCTTCTTTGCGTGGTTTTTAGACAAAACTGAGCCACTTTGGCCTTTTTATTCATTTTGTGATCGGCCTCCAAGCGGGTCAGCCCAGAATTGATTTGAAATTTAACAGTGAACTTTTTTTTTTTTTGATAATGAAGATCGGCCGACCAAAACCGGTTTAGCAGAGTGATCTACTTAGACCCGTCTCAAAGCTAAAGGGAAAAGTTACCACAGTGATGCTGCGTTGATGGTGCCAATTCTGGAGGACCTTACAACACTCTCCTTTCACTAGATCTCGTTTATCTCGGTTAGCGGAGACACCTTTGTCGTTGCTTCAAGACTGAGCAAGTACCAGCTTGAAAAGAAACACAAATATATTTAGGGTTAGGCATAATCAGCACCGACTGATATGGATGACAGAAGAACTGCCCACGCATTTGAGGAAAACGCACTGAAAGGAAGGAATGAAAAGCAAGAGGCCCGCGATGCAAATCTTGGAAGAGCACAAAACACGGATAGATCGAAGTTGTCCTGTTTGAGTTTTGAGTTTTCAAAAGAATGAAGATTAATTTAAATACATTCTGCTTTCTGCACTCCGACTATTTTTGGATTTTTTGTAAGACCCTCCATCAGGATCCTTTATGAAATACGTATTTTGCATACTATTTTGTGTGTCTCTCTGTTTCGTCGAGATATTCTATAATCGTTCATCAAGTTAATTCATCCGCTAACGAGATACGTTATAGTGATGTCATAATACTAATGTAAGTCATTTGTCAGCTGTGGACCTAGCCGACTCACTGGGTAAATATCAAATCGTTTCGTATACTTTATTATCTGAGCATTTCATAACAATGTAACTTCCTTTTAGGATTCGAACGCAGTTCTTATTGTCTGGCAGTAAAGTCGTCAATAAAGATGTTTGATAACAGTGAACGAAAAACCCACAACTGACGAAACACTCTCGATATTTTAGGGTAGGGAGGGAAGGAAAGTGGAGTACGAAAATCATCGTTCCAGTTTCGTTCGCCTTATTTATCATTGCACAGCTCCTTTTTCTTTACTGATCGTCATGAAGCATCCTGAGGTAAAAGGTACAAATCTTTCATCTTCGTCGTTTGATTGCGGTGTAAAAAATTTATTATATTGGCGTTCCTTGTGCCTTAAAGACTCACATTTATAAAAGCGAGATCAAATTGTAATTTAAAAGTGACGTTTTCCTTCAAATCGTGGATTGTAAATTGAAAAATCTGTCAGATTTCACGCCTAACAAAAATTTGTCCAACTCAGAGGCGCCCTTGAAGATTGGAAGGGCTTGACAAATTTTTGTAGGATGAAAAATCAGCGGCGCACTGGAACTGATGACAGATTTCTGCGCAAAATAAACAAGAATTTGCCTAGTGCGACTGGCCTCATAGGGTACTTCCTCAGTCACGCGAGATAGCCGCTTTCTTAACAGTCACGCAATAATCGTCACGTCAACTTAATTTTTTTTCAATTTCAGGAAAAAAAACTGGCTCGGCTCGCACAGTTTTTCTTTAAGTGCGCGGTGTGCTCGAAGTTTTCCTTGCAATTGTTTTTATAGGAATTTTTTACCTTTTCCTTCCCTTTAATAAGTAAAACGCCATTTCGACCGGCCATAATTTAGCAGATGAAATCGTGAGCAGGACAATGCCTCATGCATATTTCAGACCACAACAAAACTTCGCTCTAACAATACTAAGTTTGAAAGGGACTGGGCTTAGTTACTTGCCATGAGGCTTCATGTCTCTCACTGAACCGGGGAATGGACCGAAGGAATCAGTTCTGTAATTGGGCTGCAATATGCCGTCCAGGGTATCAATCCTATCTGTGATGGTCCGAGAATCGAAAGGCGCCTTTAAATGGGTTCCTCGTAAAATCAGGAGATCGATTCTTTTCGTTTTAACCGCAGTTCTGTTTGTCGTGACCGCTAGATATTTCTTCGGAAAAGGTAAGCGATTATTAAATTACCTAGTAAAGTTGAGAAGCTAGCAAGCAGCCTTAATTGAGAGACACGTATTTCCAATTTTCGACAATTTTCCTTCTCAATGTCATCTTATTTGTAGAAATGTAATATCGCTTACCGCCTCATTTGCATTTTGGGCACTCGAACAAACAAAAACAAATTTGAAGAATTCAAATTCATATCCTTTCTTCCACTAAACGAGTTTTCAATAAACATATTTAGCGAAAGTTAAGTAGAAGAAATAGGGAAATTAAGGATTTTATACAAATTTCGTTTTCGTGACAACGTTGAAAACGTTTTAAATCCCTTATTAATGTTTACGTAAGGCTTTATTTTGTTGTCGCAGACCTTTTATTTCAAGTTTTCTTCCCGTCTGCGTCACGGCAGAGTCCTTGCCGGTAATGTTCACTGTTTTCGGAACTTACAACCTCTTTATATTAGGGGCGGAAACTGAAACCAGCGGGTCTCGCAACATTTTTATTGTGCGCTTTCAGAATATCGTTTACTTATGTTTACGTTGAGTCTCGGAGTCTCTCATTTCTCTTTAAAATCCTCAAAGTTTAGAGTTGTTCCTTGAATTCCTCGAGGAAACACCTGAATCGGTATCGGCGTCAATACATTCTCTTTGACTTCACAGAGTACGTGGGAACTTCATGAACAAAAGATAAATCGAGACGTATTCGTAATCTTTTCGTTGAAGCCTTTTCAATATTTTGAACTTACAATCGTTGTCGTGCAGACGGAAACACATCACGCATGTCACGCAATTTGTTTTCGTAAGGAGTTACTTTATGCAATGACTGTTCAAAGAGCTTTTTTTAAGCAGAATCCGAAAGTTGTTGTTGATAATAATACATATTTGGTCATTTATAGTAAATTTGTGAAAGCTAAATGTCTAACTACGAGCGAAAGACCTTATTTAATTACGTGAAAAAAGAAATGATCTGTGAACGAAAGAACGATCTGTAGCTAATACGATTAAAAAAATCACGAGCTTTCGACTGCTTGAACTGCTGTCTTCGACCGGTGAAATGTGAAGGCCTTTCACTATTTTCACCTATTTAAGTAGTTCATTCATCTCATATTTCAGATCTACTTTCTCTAATATTTCTACTTTTAGTAATCTTTGTTAGGTCACTTTCTTTGTTTATTAGTCAGATTTTGGTTTCATTATCTTATGGGAATATTTTCTACACTGAAAATCAAGAGCTCTATCATGCGTTCACCATGCTAGTTCTTTTGAGTGCCATCAGCTGCTTAGCAGCTAGCTACTAAGAATGGTGTCAATGGGGCACCTGCTGTATTGAAATTTTTTTGTCAAATTCAATAGGTCTTGTAAGTCTCAATAGTTGGTTAACTGTTGTACCTTTCATGCCCTACAGAGTTTTTTTTCGGGCAAAGGGAACAGGTGGGAGGGGTGTTTAGCTTAGCAGAGTTGGGGGCTGGATTGGTATTGTATGATGGGAAGAATGCATGAGAAGTAATAGCTTTCATTGCAGGTGTATTTTGTGGTTGATGAGTGTATAATATTCTGATGAAGTGCTTTAGTAGTTACATGGGATTGGAAGGATCAAGGAAAGTATACAGCTAGGAGATAAGTCTAGTTATTGGAAGGTCACATGGTTAACTGAGAATAAATAAATAGTGAGGGGGAGATGGTAATTTTTCTTCCTTTCTCCAACCCCCCCCCCCCTCTGCTAAGCTTTCTTGATGTAACCAATCAAATATGACAGCTACAACACTTACTCAGAACTTTTAAAATTTGCTGGCTCCCTTGGTCCGTCATGCAGAATGGTAGAGGGACACAATATGGAAGAGAAGTGTAGAAATGTCACCTCATGCTGGTTGACTATAGAAAAATTTTAAGGTTTGCAAGGCAAGAGATTTTTGCACCATAGCCTGTGCACAAGCTCTCTGTGGGGTTACTGCGTATCATATTTAGGCTTGTTGGCTTGTTCTTGTTTCATAGTCCCCAATCACTTTGTTGAGGAGAGCTTTCCAGTAGTCGTTAGGTTCAGGTTACTCGACATCTGACATGCACTGCACAAAGTCTGTATTATCTGCCTTAAGCTTTAGCTTAGGCAGATAACTCAGACCTCAGTTTTGATAATTTGTGATATCATAACCCTAAACTACTCAGATCAATTAATAGAGAGTATTAATGTCAATGCTTGTATATTAACATTTTACTTAGTAAATGTTAAGTAGAATTTTAGTATTGCTATCTTGTTTAGCCCAAAAATTATAACTATTTTTTCAGGCTGATAAAAACATGATATGAACACCATCGATCATACTTTATATTGTGACTATCCAATAGACTATCTTTATTTTATTTTATTTTATTTTTTTTGTTTAGAGTCGTCAGTTAGACAAAGAAAACGTCTCTATCATCACAACGTGTTCTGTTCTCTGCGTATCAGATCATGATAAGTGATTTGCAAATATAAAATTGCATCTTTTTTCAGGGGTGAAGTTTGTACAATTTACCCCAAAAGTTATTTTCTGAAACAAAGGTTTAACTCCATTCATAGTGAGAATAATGTTATTATGCGTTACAATTCATTATCACTGCGGTGAACCAAGCGTGGCAAGTAAATGAAGCAGCCACGAGAAATTGACATACAAATTGACAGGTGTGTTTGTGAAATGTGATCTGTTATTGTATTTGTTGTGTTCCTTTGTTCAGACCTGTGCTGCTTCAGGGAAAGCGAAATTGGCAACAAAAACGATGATAGTATCTTTGTTTTTATTCATGAGTGGGTTTCTGCATGTAGCTGCAGGTTAGTGAGGCTGCTTATGCATTTTCATCCATCTCTAGCTGCCTGCAACTATTCCTGAGACGTGTTTTGTAACGATATTTTCTTTCGGTTAGATTGTAACGCCAACCGTAAAGATAATGCTCAGCAAACACAAATTGGACGGCAATGCAGCAACCTTCCTTTGTGATTCGGTTGTGCATTTCAGAAAGGCTTAACTGTAGGAAATGCTGCCACCAATTTGCATTTTAGTGAACTGATGAACTATTACTGTGACGCGTAGTTTTTAGCGGATATCAATATGGTGTATGTCGTGTATAGCTTAATTGGGATACTGGCATATAAGTTTCCTGATGATTTAGGTAGAACATCTGATGGTGAAGTGGAACTGGTTTAACCCCGAATTTCAATGAGGCGTTATACTTTGTCTAATTCTTCGTTAGTGCATTTCGAAATTTTACATAACTTGATGTGCTAAAATCACCACCACACGTCAGTGAAGCTGTCACTTAGGTTGCTATGTAATCTACAGTTTTCCCAAACATCACGCCAAAAAGGAAAAACAATTAATCTTGTGTGTATTTTAACTGGATAAGTGCTTATTTGAATCTGTTAGCTTTTCCAAAATGCTTTCTTCTGTGCGATTATCCGTAGATATTGGTTTCATTTCGTTTCGTTTTTACTTTAAGTCGGAAGAGTTGCACATTTCACAATGTGATCTGATTAGGATAATTCCACTACTTTTCGATTCTAACCGTCAATTATCAACGATAGGTTTTTTTCTGTCCTAGTCTTAAAAAAAATATGTATTATTTCTTCTTTTTATCATAACTCTGAGAGGAGAAATTCAGAGCATTTCGTCGCTGTGGGTAAGCTTTGTTTTCTTTGTCATGGATTATTGCGTAATGTTCTCGGTCACGCGAACGTCACGATTTCAAGAATATAAGTTTGAGTTTGTGCCAATCTTCGGAATTCATCTCCGATAATTTCCTTCAATGATGAGTCTCTTCTGTCAAAGTCTCGGACAGAAGTGCGTTAAAAACTCGCTTCTGTGAAATTGTAACAGTATGTATGTTTAGTTAGAAAAAAATCCCTTTGCCTGTAAATTGCTACATTTAGTAATGTCAACAGGTATTTCTAACTTTTTCGGTAAAAAAACTCATCGTTTTCTATTACAGTCACGTC